TTTAGTGCTAATGGCGCGGTGCATGACTTAAAACTGCGGAAAAGTTCGGAGGCACAAGTTTTCGGACACCGTAGCTTTATCATGTCAGTAGTAGACAAAACTAAGTTTCTCCTTCGTAGTACAGGACGGCTTTGAGCCCAGGGATAGTACTGCAGGCACTCTCAGAAGAAGGCGAACACTTGCATTAAAAGTGGCAGTTTAGGATGAGTCAATGACAGTGGCTGCATTATGTCCCATTATCGTGTGTGCTCGCGGTTCCCAAATCTTCGGAGGGTTTATAAATTGGCTTCCATGTAGGAGGCGGTTTCTTATATCCGTTATTCGTAAGGACAGAAAAATTATTCAGCACTAGCAGTTCTTCTACATAAAACTCACCAATTCACTAACTAATTTGTGGAATACTCCACAGGTAGGCAGGTTAAAGCCTACTGTCACTAACAACTAAACCCACCTTTCTGATATCAGTAACGAAGACCACGTACCGAAGACCGGCTGGAACACACATCTGAATCTTAACGTTCCGGAGACTGTAGTTCAAGATCTGCACATATTTTCTGCGCAGTTCTTATTGTGTCGACTCTGAGTCATGCCTTTCCTGACCAGCAAAATAAATCATTAACTGATCTCAGGTTCGTAAGACATACGTTCTAATAACATCTAGGCGTTTCTCAGTGGCATGTTTATCCTTGACTCAAAACATTCGAATACAATGATCAAAGTTGACCAGTGGACAGTGCTCGATATAAATAGAATTCGACCTCAGAGTTCGACACCTCTCTGTGAAAAACGGAAGTCCACGTTTATCGTTTTTGTTTTACATGTAGACACTTAAATGCCTTAAAACATTCAATAAGGATATTTGGGACAAAGTAATTCCAAGTAAATGCGAAAAATTACCGACAGAAATATGACGTGATGTTCCGAAGAAAATATATGCCATTACGGGAAAAAATGAGGTATAAAGTCCATTAACAGGACTCAGCCCAGCCAAGCTGCCGTATGCCATTCCTGAAATGGTAAGAGTTACTAAATGTTTACCTTGTGGGATGTGAAAAATAGCCATAGTAATTCCACTCACAACGTCCAAAACAAAGTCGTTTAGCTTATAAAACGAGCGCAAAGAAGTAAACGTCGGACAGATAGCGAAGCCAAAGTCTTTTAGACGAAGTTTTAAGCAAGATTTCTTCATGCTTGAGAAGGTGACCTGCTTCTTAGGGAGAATCTCGAATTCATCGCAAAATTCGGGTTGGGAAAATGTCAGTCGGTTGATTTTATAGACGGCTCTGTGGCCGTCGGTTAGATTCTCATCCATTGCTGATGTAGTTAGATGAGGGAACGATTGTCCTCAGACGCAGAACAACGCTAGAATCGTAACATTTCGGAGGTTGAAGTTAGTTTGGATCGGAAGAAACTATAGAAAGGTGCTAAAACGTTCACCAGCAGTCAAAAGAAGGAATTAAAAGAACTGAGTGTGATGCCAGATTTACTGCTCAAGTTAGTACACGGTCATGTGAAATCAAATTTATCCATTAGGAATTAAGTTCAAAATGCCGAACCAGGGGAATGCTACAGGTGAAAATAGAACCATTCGCAGTGATCAGTGGTGCGCAGTTAGCTGAAGGCACGATGACGAGGACGCCAAACCTGGAGATTGACACTCTTTCCTCGTACTGGAAGCGTACATTTTGCACGTCAATCCCTGTTCAAAACATTGCTTGCCTCTTTACAGATTTCTTTGTCAGGTTGGGGTGTCATGCTCTCCTCAACCTATGCTTCAGTCGGATGGACAGCATTCACACCGTCGGGTGAGATCTGGAATGAGCAAACGCATTTCCTCTCCGAGAGATCGCGATCGAAAGTGAAGGCAATAGAAGGTCAAGCAGATCGGGAACAAAATTGAAGTTACATATTGTCTTTAAAAAAAAACAATATTAGTAGATAAAGTAAACGGAACAGACGAAATATCGTCATATACATTAGAAAACATCAGTAAATGCCCTCTTTGAGCATGGCATGAGGTTGAAAATAGGAAAGTCAGTACTTAAGCTGGAGGGGTCACCTTGGGAATTTCATGTATTCGAGAAGTCATCCAAGTTTTGACAATTGTCGACACCTTCCTCACTGTCACTAAAGGTTAACTAGGTCAGTTTTAGTGGCCCCCCACCACCACCACCTCCACATATTTACATATTTTCCACATAAACTTGCATTTTTTACATTACTGCGAGATCCCGCGCATTAGTGCAGCTTCTAGGCAGTTGTTAAGATTCAACTAGCGCTATACTTTATCCAAAGGTCTTCAAACAGATGAAAATTTCCGGTATCACCGGATCTCCTAGTTTTCCAGAATCACGACAATTTTGCGGGAGGGTTTATGCCAACTGCGTGATTAATTGGGCCTCGTCGGGCTCATGATCAAAACTTGCGCACTTAGTCTCGTGAGGTCACACTGACCAAGTGAGATGTGTTTGACGTAGTTTAAAATTAAAGTCACGAATCACCTTAGAGGGACTTCAAAACATTTAGGATTTCGCATGCCTCATACATTATAGTTTATCTCTTTTAAGTGTTCGAAACGCATGTTAAGCTTGTGTTAAACACCTTGTGATCGAAATTTATCTGCTAATGCTTACGACGTCTTTATGAATAAGTCATTCGATCGCATGTATTCATTGATTTTCTTATTTCGTCTCATATTTCGCCTTTTTTCAAAGTCTACGATGCGTCTTCCTCAAGTAGCGCATCGACATGTGTAGCGCCTACTCGGTTAAACTACTCCACGACACTCTCAGTTATTTGTCCATGTTCACTTATGGGCTGATAGTTAAAAAACAACGGAACATTATTCAGTAGATTCAGTGTCCATGGCCTCTCTCCAATATCAACTTAAGGGCTTGGACAGAAAATATTTCAAGTTTGTTGACGCCGAAATGGCCGTCTGAGACAGTAGCCGGAGTAAGGATCGAGATAGGACTGTAGAGAGACGAGCTTGTTTGCACGTCCACGTTCCCGCGTTCTCTTACCCTACTGATGCTAGGCATCCTCTGACGGCGGTTGGTGTCATCAACGTTGAAATTCACGATCACAACTCGATTTTCCGAACAGCCTCCTTCTTTTCATATATAAATGAGGGTGGAGAGGCGCCCATTGTTCGAGTGTTCGTCACGTTGTTCCTTAGGGCTTGAACAAAAAGCCTCGTAGGCAGTCGCATAGTAAATAGTAGTTCATGTCGGTAAGTTTGCATCCATAAGGACAAGGGAGATCAGAATGGTCATTTCTAGCCTGTTAGCCATCATCAGTCAGTCATATTCAGACCCAAAGTGTGCAACGCCTGGGGCTCGATTCCGTGACCTGTTGGTTAGAAGTCCAACGCCTTCACCACTGAGCCACGAGCTCGTTACCTTGTGGGTTGCGATCGGGTGTGTATAACGGCAGAGAGAC